CCCCAAAACCCCAAAACCCCAAAACCCCTAAAAGAGGAATTAGATAATAAATTAACAGTTAAGTAATTGATTTAGAGGTAATGTTATAAACTAGCTTTCAGGCATTATGAAATATACAATTAATTTCATGATTTAAGTTTAAAGAGATTGTAGAGATTTCCTATACTTCATTTTTGCAATTTTCTGATAATCCAATTCCAAATCGAGGATTTAGTAGCCTAAACCTTCTCAAATTCCTAAGGAATTTCTTTAAAAGCTTGATCAAATTATACTACACCATCTTTATTAAATCCCTACAAGTTGGTTGAGTAAGAGTTAGATATTCCAGCTTTCTTCATGAATGTATTAAAGGGGATGATTAAATCGTTTATAATGTCAAATTGATTATGATCCATCTCTCTTGGAGTTACTAATGCACATGGACCTCCACATTTAAAATGTAGATATTCTGATTGTTTGAGTGGTATCAAAGTATCTTTCTAGCCATGCAGAATAAAGGTAGGGCATTTTACTCTCTTTATATAGTCTTTGTTTCTAAACCTATCAGTAATAAAGTATTAGAAAACTCTTCCAGATATTTACTTTGCCATATCTCTAATTGATGTAAATGGGGCAATTAGCATCAAACAGCTCACTAAATATTTTGAGGCTAGATAGGTAGCAGGACCAGAGCCGATAGATCTACCACATAGTACTATTTGCTAAGGATCAATTTATTGATATTTAATAAGGAATTCCAGTACTGTCTCAGCATCAAACATTACTTAGTTAGCATCGACATCACCCTAATATATTCCATAACCTACGTACTCAACAGCCATTACATGCATTCTATTGAGTTGTCTAATATAATCTAAGAATGGTCTAGATAAACCAATATCTTCAGCATTGCCATGAAAGTAGAGTAGTATTTTACTAGAACCATGATCGAAAGGCAAGTAGAGACAAGGTATGTGATCCATTAGTTTTTGCTGTTTTTCCTTATTCTTTAAATTATTAAAACTTTGTGTTCTGTCATTATCATCTTCTAAAGTGTTACTATTAAACCTTGACAATGATTCAGTGTCATTAAAAAGCTCATCAGCATTATTTGCCTTGCTATTTTAGGTTTGATAGAATCTATCAGTAAATTCTCCAAGACGATGTTTTCTCATTTCAAGAGTATCAAATACTGAAACACATTTTTTGTTAGGCATCTTGGAATATATCTGAGTTTTAATAAAATCATCTTAAATCACATTAATCTAATCATCATCAGGTTAATAATCTCGCGGGCTTTACTGATCTTGCATACTTTTTAATTCCTCCATCATTTATTACTTCATTATTTTCTTAAAATTCCTTGGAATGAAGACTAAATCTCTAGCAATAGGGTCTGTTATGGTGTATGTACTTTTGGGGGCAGGAAATAATACACTGTTCATCTCCATTTTATGTGATTATTATAATTAAAATGATTATAAATATATACTTGTGATAATTTGATTATACTAATAAATTTAATCATATATTCACAGATTATCAGTTACTCTTATAGAAGGTAGATAAATTCTCGTGGGTTTTACAGATCTTAAATTCATCATTATTTCTAATGATTATTACTTTTATTAACTAGTTGCTCGGATTCTCCTTACATTTTCATCATGCTACCAAACATCTTTTGCCCTCCAATCAACTTCATATATTACTCAGATTAAGGGGATGGAGCTATTCTTTCAAAGTTGCCCATTATTTTCGGCATTTCCCCATATTTCCTTGGAACTTGCCCATTTAATATATAAGTAAGGTCTCTATTCATTAGTCTTTTAGAGTAAGCATTTGAAGTAGTACTTTATTTGAAGTCCTCATTGATTCTTCTTTCAAGAACTTCAAATAATCTTTTTCGGTCAAAATCTATAGGATCTACCAAGTCTATGATATCATCGATTAGTCTTTATTTTATCATATCATCGAGTAAAGTTTCTCTTGCCAGACTTGGGGAACTATTTATTTCAATAAGCCAGCATTTCATGTCTTAATCTATGAGGATATCGAAACCAAATAATTCAAAGCAACATGGATTAAATTGAATATCATTTTGGCAAGCAACCATTGATTTCAATACTACATCTCTGATCTAAGGCCATATTTGATCATCCCAATTTACATTTGCAGCTTGTTATACTCTCTTCTTTAATGTTTAAATTGAGATTTTTGTACCTCCATAAAGTAAGTCGGTTGGATCTTATTCACTATTATTTACATTGTATTTTTGAATGGAAACATTCGTCAGATGAATGTATTTGTTATTTTTGTCAGTAGGATCTAAAGAAAATGGCATTGTAGAAAATCTACCAAAGCCCTCTTTATAAAGAAATACTTCCAATGGGTTAACAGAAGTTACCAAAACATATATACGCATGTCAAATTTATAGCCATTTATTAGAAGTGGATTCTTAATATATCTTTGGACTACAATAGGTTCACCATAAGTAATCTAAGTTAAATCATTAACTAGGGAAATACCACGTCCTCTTGACTTTGCTGCAGGTTTCATTATCCAATAATTTAGCCTTCCTTCTTTATCTTCAAATTCTGAAAATGACTCTAAGAAGCCAACATATTCTTTTGGCAAAATAAATGTCAAAGGCAACATATTGAAAACCTAATTAGCCTTGGATGACATTTTTTATGCTCTTTCTATATTTCTCTTTAAGAAATCCTTTCTTGATACATTTTTAGCTCCGCTAAAATGATTACATTTTTACCAAACAATAAGTTTTGTTATATCAATCTTAATCTTAGACCATGTCCAAAGCAAATTCCAACTATTTCTCAAGTCAAGTCCGTGAGGTAGCTCATTCCACCTTCTTTTTCTTGAGAATGCTCTAGATATTATATCATAAACTTCAGATCTATTTTTTACTACTCTGTAATACAATGAGCTTTCTCTGTTTTCGTCTATTATCTAGTTTGGATTAGCAAGAGCATATTATGCTGCTTTTTCATTCGCCTCTTTGACAATGTCATTCACATCTTTTTGCTTAAGTAATTAGAAATTACTTTTCAACTACTACTAAGCCATAGCTTACATCATTATTTCATTACCTCGATTTTTCATTTCTAATTCAAGCTCATTTACACTCTTCCCTGTTAATGTAAAGAAATCTGGCATCCCTTTGTAATAGTCTTAAAGGGATTTCTCTAATGGAGCTTATTCAAATTAAAATTTTTTCTTCATATTAATAGCATTAGCATCCATTATATTAACAAAAGCTGCATACATATTACGAGTATCTCTAATGACAAAGGAAACATCGAAGTTCTTTGGATCAAGTATCTGGCCAACAAATATATCATAAAACGTCTTATAATGGCCGCTATAGTCTATGTACTATTCTGTCTCAGCAATTATTTTTGGGACAGCTACCTACTAAGTTTTTTTAGGAACCTTTTTTTAGCTTTACTTCTTATCTTCTTTTTTCTTTTACTCTATAGTGTTATCCTTTTTAGATTCTTATAACGTTGAGGAATTCAGATCTTGTTCAATTCTTTGCTATTATATCTGAGCTTGCTCTTATTTGATCTTAACCTCTTTATCTCTTTGCATTTACTCTCTTACTTATTTCAACCTATCCTCTTATTCTTACTTACGCTTCTAATCATCCTATGAATTCATGAGCTATTTCAGCTATTCCATTCGTTTGTTAGTAGCCTATTAAACTGGTGTCTTATTGATTGAACCTTATTTTTACTAATCATCAAGATCCAGATCTTATTACTCAAGCAATTTTAGTTATTCAGAGACTGTATCTATTTTACTATTTTATGACATTGGTGTTTATTAAGCACTAATTGCTGCTTCATCAACATAAATTTATACTTTTCCTCTTATCTTTTTAGAAGTCGTTGATGACGGCATTGTTTATATATTTATTTATTTCGTTTGTTAGCTATCAATTTTGACATTTAATTGGTTAGGCTGGATAAAATCTTCATCTAGACCTTCTGACTAGTAATCAAATATCTATTGTAGTTTCGCTTAATTATCTGAAAACATAGCTTTACTCTAATTTTTTTCATCATCAATAGGCTAATAAAAATCATCTTCTTCAGCAGCATCATTATCATTATCTTACTCATCTCCATAATCCATTACTTTTTCCTCTTCTTCGTCTGATTCTACTTTAGTCTGCTTTTAAACTTCTCTCGTATTCTAAGCAAATACCTATTAATTCAACTTCATATGGGTTTAGTCTTTAATTACCTTTTAATTTGGCTCTAGTTAGTCATTAATTTAAATGTTTTCAAGATTCAAATCTAAATTACTAAGAAGATTCCGATTATCAAAAGTTTCATTCTCAATATTAGACTTATAATCTAGCATTTCATCATCTGGGTCTCTATCTCCTCCATCTGAATATTTACTTTAGATCTCCTCTTGACCTAGCATGTCATTTTCTAAATCTGTTTATTTGTTTATGCCACTTTCAGTTGAGTCTTCCCATTATTAAATTGAGTTTCCTTGAGGAAGTGATTCTGAATTTTAGTCTAAAGTTGACACAGAATTAGTAGAAATATTTGACTTTGTTTGCTGATTATTGCCACCTTGATTCCCCGGTTTTTATTCTTTACTTTTTGGAATAGGTGGTCGACTTGATTATCTGCTTTTCATATTATTTGGTTTGTAAATTGTTTAATCTTAAGTCTTTTTGCTTTCACCTTTATTTTGATTATCAGCTTTTGTTGGCTATGATGATTTTTGCTAAACCTGTTTATTATCCTTTATGCTATTTTACCTAGATAAGCTTCTTTTATTGGAACTTGCTGATGCATTTTTATTATCAGACTTAGTCCCCACTTAGCTTTCTTTCCTCGTCACTCTATTCTCGTTTTTCTGAGGTTATGCTTTTTAATTACTTACAGATATTGCAGTGTTTTAACCTCCTGCATTAGTTGAGCTTTACTTTTTCTTGAGATTTGGTTTGTAAATGGTTTGCTTTTCAATCATTGATGAAGTTTAACTAGCAGCCTAACTTTCTGTATCATCTGCTTTCTTTTTTTTAGTAAAGTTCTTGGAACTGTTTACAGCTATTGATTACTATATTACTCCCATGCTTTCAGATGCAATCTTAGTCTTAGCTAATTTATCTCGCATAAATGATTGCAAATCCTTTTTGTTCTTTTAGGCAGTAGTCCTATTAGCGAACATCTTTTTGGATAGATCAGAATCTTCTTTATTAGACTAACTTTACCCAGGTGTATATAAAGATTAAGTATCATCTGTCGATTGCTTTAAGTACTCTGAAAACTAAGTATCAGTCTCTAATTTGTGGTCTCTATTAGTACTCAACTGTGAATTATTGAGTATTTATTATTTTTGTTAAAGGAGACTCAAATTTTACTAATTGAGTTAAGCGGTAGTTTGCTATTGTGACAATTAATGTCTTTGCATAATCTATGAAAAAGGATCATTCATATTTGCATTTTATAGATTAGCTTGGCTCGATGATATCTGCTATATATTTTATTTTTATTCATTGAGAGGTTAATAAAACTTGTCATCATTAAGCAGATCCAATTCTCCATCCATTCCATTTTTACTTACGAAAAAACTTATCACATCATCTACTTATCTTCTCTCTTCAAGCTCTAACTCTAAACTTTCCTTCAGTTTTAAGGCTTTTCTTTCAAATTTATCATAAGATTCAAAGCCTTTTGGCAATATAATCTAATCTACATTTCCATTTGCTCCCTAGAGTAGCATTTAATCTAAATCTTGAAGAAGCGATTCCAACTAGTCAGTTTCAAAATCATATATCTCCTCTAAATACGGCAATTCTTTCATACTTTAATTTAAATATTTATCAAATTTAACTAATCATTATATTTTTAAAACCATCCTATATTTCTGGGGTTTTGGGGTTTTGGGGTTTTGGGG